GTTGGATCCGGAGGTTGGTGGGGTGGTACGTGAGGACGAGGGGGATTCTCTTTTAGTTGTTATTGCGGGGACGGTGTGTGAGGGCTGAGTTGCGGGAAATGTGGGAGACACGGTGGAGGGCGTTCTCGACCACTGAAGGGGGGAGGTTGCGGTCCTTGAAAAACACGGACATTTGAGATGTACGGGAGTGGAATGCCTCATCCTGGAAGCAGATGCGGCGGAGGCGAAGGAATTGGGAATAGGGGATGGCATTTTTGCAGGAAGGTGGGTGGGAAGAGGTGTATTCTAGGTAGCTGTGGGAGTCGGTGGGCTTGAAATGGATATTGGTTTCTAGGTGGTTGCCCGCGATGGAGACAGAGAGGTCCAGGAAGGTGAGAGAGGTATTAGAGATGGTCCAGGTGAACTTAAGGTTGGGGTGGAAGGTGTTGGTGAAGTGGATGAACTGTTCGAGCTCCTCATGGGAGCACGAGGCGGCACCAATACAGTCATCAATGTAACGAAGGAAGAGGTGGGGTTTAGGGCCAGTGTAGGTACGGAAGAGGGATTGTTCCACGTAACCTACAAAGAGGCAGGCTTGAGTGGCTTTGATGGATCCTGAAATAACCTTTAGCGCACAGTGTCTTGGTGTGACTTGATGGCACTATTGATTACTAATGCTTTATTTTTAATTTGTGATGAGGTAATTGATGAAGTGATAAATTGCAGGATCGGAGCTTTTCTTTAAATATGACAAAAAGATTTTCCATATTGTTAGCCGATGCCAGGTTTTTGGCAAAGAGGACAGCTAGATCTGGTACACAGATCTTCACTGCAGCTGGGATCTCAACCTTTGCTGTGTCAGTATACCCCGATATGTCTTAATGCTACCACTGAGTGACACAAACTGGTTGGATGTTGAAATCTATTATGATGGAGGCTTCAGCAAGAGACCATGCAGGACTGTCTCTGCTTGCTTTTACTCAAAGCTACTTTCAAACATTTTTGGTGTCTGTTTGACTCAAAGGTAGCATTCTAGCCTCTGATTCAGAAAGCCTCTCTCGGTGCCAGAGTACATGAAACAATACTTACTAAACAGGTGATGTTCATATTTTAATCCAAGACCCTGTCTGCTCATTCAGGTGAATACCAAAGATTCCGTGACACTTTTTTTAAACTAAATAAGCTGCATTTGCTTTAATGAATTATGGGGTACAGATATACCTGTTTCTTTTAAAAACAAATGGCGAGCACCTCTGTCTATTCTTTGAAAGCTATTGCATAAATGGATAATGAATCCAATGAGACATCGTGCTCTGACTCAGAACCTGAGGTGCGATTTCATAGGCCGAGGTATCCAGAAGGAAGCTATGACTATTATCCATGCATAAAGCTAGACCTTGGTAAGGGAGAGAAGTAGAGTTCCTTGAGGCAGAATCTGAGACCCCCCTCCCCCCACCCCCATCATTTTCAGCTACTTCTTCAATGACCTTCCCTCTATCGTAAGGTCATGTGTAGATGTTCACTTGAAGAGCAATGTTCAGCATCATTCACGGCTCCTAATACTGGAGCAGTCCATTTCAAAATGCAAAGATCTGGGCAATATCCAGTTTTTGGCTGACAAGTGGCAAGTTACATTGTTTGGCACTTCTGTGGCACAAGTATCCATCTCCAACAAGAGAGAATCTAATCATCACCTTTTTAACATTTCAAAGGCAGTGCCATTAGTGATACCCCCGTTATCAACATTCTGGGGGTTAGCGTTTATCAGAAACTGAACTGAACTGTACTAACTATATAAGTGATAGTAGGAACTGCAGATGCTGGAGAATCCGAGACAACAAGGTGCAGGGCTGGATGAACAGGCCAAGCAGCATCATAGGAGCAGAGAGGCTGACGTTTCGGGCCTAGACCCTTCATCAGAAAAGGGGGAGGGGAAGGGGGTTTTGAAATAAATAGGGAGAGAGTGGGAGGCGGATAGAAGAGGGATAGAGGAGAGGATAGGTGGAGAGGAAACAAACAGGTCGAAGAGGCGGGGATGGGGCCAGGAAAGGTGAGTGTATAAGTACTGTGGCTACAAAAGCAGGTAGCTAGGAATCTTGCAGCAAGTAATTTACTGTCTAGTCCACCATCTTCAAGGCACAAGTCAGGAGTGTATTGGACTACATCCCAGTTCCCTGGATGGGTGCAGCTCTAACAACACTCAAGACATCGTCTAGGACAAAGGAGCCTGCTTTGATAGGTACTGGATCCACATGCATTCCACTACATGCCCTCCACCACTGACACACCGTAGCAATGTGGTGTGCCATCTATCTATAAAATGCACTGTAGAAACGCACCAAGGCTGTTTTATCAGCACCTAGTAAGACAGGGCCACAGATACTGGCAATACCAAAACCTGTCAGTTCCAAACCACTCCCTATCCTGTCTTGGAAATATGTCATTGGTTCTTTTAAGTATTACTGGATCAAATTCCTGGAATTCTTTCCCTAACAGCATTGTAGGTCTGTTTGCACCAGTGGCCTGTAGCGGTTCAAGGAGGCAATTCATTGCTTCCATAGCTAGGAATTGGCAGTAAATACTGGCCCGGTCAACAATGCCCACATCCCATGCATTATTGTTTTTTAAAAAGTGAATAATTAAGAATGGGATTATCCCTTTGACAATATTATGTAAGTACGGTATGCTTTAATCTCAACTCTTTTCACTAAAACAAATTTCAAGTAATACAATCCTGTGCATGCACGTTTTTGACAGTTATACCACTAGATCGGTTGAGGAGGAAAGATGATTGATTTTAGTCCTGTGTTAAGCGCAGCTTCTGAAACTTTCTGAACACCTTGTTCCTGATCCCGAGGTTAAAGGGAGGAGTTTCGATGCTTTATGTGAGGGCCTGCCAATTTCAAAGAAGTATCGGCATAGTCTAGTAGACGACAGATTAATGTGTAATGCAGCATACCCCAGAAGGAAAATGTTAGGAAGAATTTTAATTTTTAAAAGTGGAATTTTACACAAAGTAAGAATGAACTTTCATGTAAATAGACCCCTTCTTTCCTTCCCCATGTGGATTTCACAAATATTTTGTCACTTAAGTATTTCGCATTCATATGAGCATACAAATTAGGAGCAGAAAATGGCCTTCTGGTTCATCTAGTGACAAAACTTGTGGAATACAAGTTTTAAGTGTTAATTGATGTGCAAGTTTATGTATTTCAATGCAAATTTAAAATTTATTATGGACCAGACCAAACCCCCTCAAAATGTATTAAGATGATATTGTGTTCCACATGCAGTTTGACCAAACTACCAGGCTTGAAGCAAAACACTATAGATAAAATGCAAACAAAAGAAAGCAGAATTGGAATAATTTAACAGAATAATAGATTATTTAACTACTAAACAGGAACTGATCCAATACAGTAACGTCCCCTAAACACCCCCTTGGCAAAAGCAAATTTGTTAAAGTTGATTGTCTCGTATGAAATTCTCCAGTCCAGGAGGAAAGAACATAGAGAGAACAATGTGGGTGGGTGTGTGTACATACATGCACACGTACACGCATGAATGTATGGCTGTAGCAGGGGTCGGTGCGTAGCAGCATCCAAGCCCCACTGGTGACTGAGCACTACATTATCATCCTGGTTCTATGGGAACTTGAGCCCACTCCTTCATGGCTATTGTTCCAACGTGTTTGAAAAAACCAAAGGCCCCTCAAGCTGTTTATTGGTTTGGAATAGACTGCTTGTTGCCTCTGTTTCAACCTCTTTGCGTTCTTAAAAAAAAAAGGACAAAATATACCCCTTCAAGCCATAGAATCATCGCATAAATTCAGTTTGAAAAAACTTATCAGCTACTGAAGATGGAAAGTGGACAAATGTAAAAATATTCAGTCTCTCATGCAGTGTTAGTATCTCTACCTCTGAGCTGGAAGTTCTGCGTTCAAGTTCCACTTGCCCTAGGGGTGTTAAAATATGCCCAACTTGATTTAGTGTTCATTTTTTTAAAAAAGTACACTCTACAACAAGCACAACATTTTGTCCTTTTGCACTTGTTTAACAAACAGATAACATAATAAAATATTTTCTGCAGTAGTACGACTTGTTTTTCTTTTTAAGTCTTTTTAATTTAGATATGAATTTGCTGTAACTATACAAATACTTACAAGGACCCTCATACACAATTTGTAAACTTGGGTTAACTACCCACATCTTCAGTTTAAAAAAAGCAGAACCCTGAGTGACATTCCTTACTGTTTAATGAAATACATAAAACTGTGCAATCTCTGAATGTAATTAAAATCTGAGACAAAAGCACTACATTTAAAAACACTTCAGTAAAACATTGTAACTATTACAAGTTCAAGTGTCGCTGCCATCTTGCATACAGCAAACTCTCACAAAAAGCTAGAAGATTAGTTCAACTGATGGTACTTTGGCTAATCTTTCTTCCCAAAAATTACTAGATTTTTCTGCTTTTTCTTATGGCAAAGGATTTTTAATGTCTACCTGAACCACCCAAACTGAGAAAATAGGCTTGGTTTAACATCTTACCTGAAGAATGGTAGTTATGTTTCTGGTAAAGGTCCATCAGTTACAGTAAGAGGTGTTCAAATTGCGGGCAGTGAGTCATGTGTTGTCCGAGTCCTGGCAAAATTCACTGTTAAAGTCCAATGTTTTGTGTACTCAATATTTCCCAACTATTGACTCAATATGGAAATTTGGAAAGGGCTGTTATTACTGTTGCTTCAGTTATACTAGACATTCAGATATGATATTAGACATTCAGATATGACACTAGCCATTTGAGTTTGTGAATTGTGTATCAGAAATTGTAACTGAATATGGATATGTATTTTAATTCCCTAGTATTCACCTATGTGGCCACAAAGATGAAATAAAATACTTTGATTATTTGGTGTTTACCTAAAGTGGGGCTTAAACTGATACTCCAGGCTCCATTTTTAACACTGTGATCTTTTATTTTATAATGAATTACTCATGTTTTTCCTTTTTGTTTTCTAGATTTGGAAACATGGCTCCAACTTCTGATGTGCTTCATTTTAAGTTTTCAAGCTATGGAGATTCCATGTTGCAGAAAATGAATTTGTTGAGGCAGCAAAAGCGATTCTGTGATGTCACAATCCGAATCAACAATGTGGCCTTCCTCGGGCATAAAATAATTTTTGCTGCATGCTCTCCCTTTTTGAGAGACCAGTTTTTGTTAAATGATTCAAAAGATGTCAGGATTTCACTTCTCCAGAGTTCAGAAGTTGGAGCACAGATACTTTTGTCCTGTTACACTGGTATCCTAGAGTTTCCTGTTAAGGAATTGGTAAATTACTTAACTGCTGCAAGCTATCTTCAGATGGGCCACATTGTAGAAAGGTGCACACAGGCCCTTTCTAAATATATTGAGCCAAAGTTGTTGTCGGAAGATCATGCGCACAACATAGGTGAAAGCAGCACTTCATCTACATTTCCTGAAACTTCAGAAAGACCACAAGAAAGCCCTCCACCTGATTCTGAAAAACACAAAATGGAAGATCTTATCGAAACAAGGGATGTCTCTGATTGTGAAACTGATTCAGAGGACAGCAACATTCGTATTGTTAAAGTGGAATCTCTGACCAGTGATATTCAAGAGAGTGAGAATAGTGATAGTTTGAGCCATCTCTCAAATAATTTCAGCAATAGTGTGGAAAGAGCTGTTGCAAATTCTCCGGAATCCCAGTACTCTCTCATCAATTCAACTGTTGATTCAAGAAACAACAAAGTGGTGGATAGTTGCATAGAGAATTTTGTAGGAGATCCACCCAGATTGTCAGAAGTTGTCAATGGTACAAGCTTTATGCTGGCAGCCAATGAGTTTGAGTTGCAAGGTTTGAGTAGTTTTCCAAATGAGGAAATGGCTGCTGCAGGTGGGTTTTTATTCAAGCGTAACAGGGGCACAAAACTGTTTGCAAACAAAACGATGTACACTAATCATTTTAAAATGCAAGACAAATGGCTTCAGAAGCCCCACCATTGTAATACATGTGGAAAAATCTTTCAGCACCTTGAAAACTTCATTAGTCACCTGAAAACACACAAACTTTTCCTGTGTCTGCGCTGCGGCAAGATTTTCACACAGAAAAGCAATCTGACGCGGCACATCCGTGTACACACAGGAATCAAACCTTACCAGTGCACAATTTGTGGAAAGACGTTCACTCAAAAATGTTCTTTGCAGGATCACCTGAATCTCCATAGTGGTGACAGACCACACAAGTGTAACTACTGTGATGTGGGCTTTGCACATAAGCCTGCACTCAGGCGGCACCTCAAAGAACAGCACGGGAAAAAATGTGTGGATAATGTCACTGAAGGAAGCATTCAAGAAATTACTCTGGAAGTAGACACTATTGAATGACTGCAGTGTTGCTGAATTTGATCTAATATCTTGTTAGAAGGCCAACTGAACTTCATTGGCCAAGCAGTAAATCTAAACTTTTTGGAAAGGGTGATAGAAACAATGCACCAAATCAACATTATAGTGGTATTTCATTAGTGCGTTAGTAAATATGCAGAGCACTGCACTTGGAAGAAATGTTCTGTAGATTTCTATTCAACTGATGAAAGAGCATTGTGAACTAACCATTTTAATTGTTGTTTGATACTGTCTCTAATTTAAAAGATGCAGTTCTGTACTTTAAACTGTTAGAACTAACTGTGTTCCACAGGCCACTTAACAGGTGGCGTATGTCCTGTTTCTTACAGAAGTATGTTTTAAAATAAGACACTAACTCTTTTTGCATGTAGGCAATAGAGTGTACCTGGTTAATGAACTATTTGTCCAGGACTAATATCTAAATTATAAAGCTTTGCCTTATGATTATGTTAAAAATGGAAACAGGAATAGGCTGTTCAGTCCCTTGAGCCTTTTCCTCCATTCAGTCAGATCATGGCTGATTCGTACCTCAATTCCATTTTCAACTTTGTTCAATTTCCTTAGATACCCTGACCCAATAGCAGTCTATTGGTCTCGGTCTTAAATTCCAAACGATCCACTCTTCTGGTAAATAGGAGCTCCAGATTTTCACTGTTTTGTGGAAAAAAAAAGGTGCTTCCTAACTTCAGCCATAAATTGCTCAGCTGTAATGTCAAGATTGTTATACCCGTCTATACTTGATTCCCTTGCCAAAGGAAATGACTCTTTGAATTTACCATGTCTTAGATCCCCTTATTTTAAACACCCCAAGCGCATTGCTTAAACTTTTTTTCATTTTTTTTTCACTGAACTTTTCTTTGAAATTATGCTATTGTTTTTAAAATCTACTTCCAAATGGTCAGGGCACTGCTCTTTCCATTTGGTCCTGTCTTCCTGACTCTCGTCTGCAGCTTTGTACCTATAGAACATGCTATTTGGGGAAACTAAGTGACGATTAGTAGGCAAGAATATGTAGTTGTTTCTTTGGCATATATCTACCATTTAAAAGTTTTTTTTTTTCTAAGCGTAGTAATTTCTTACATTGGAACTTGATCTTGCTAGAATTGCTACACTAGTAATTCTACATCAGCAGTGACCCAGCATAGACTGCATTATCTGGGTGTCTGAAAATTCAATTAGAAGAATTTTGTGCTAATGATGTTATCATGGACATTGGCTTAAACGATTAAGCACATTACTTCTTCTCGTTTTGTGTTTTAACAGTCATATGTTTAATTTCTGACCAAAGCACTTAAATTTTGTTCTGCTATTCCTTTTTAAAGTTTCTAACATCTGTGAATAATGGTCTATTCCTTGAGGGCATTACAGAACTGTACAAAACTGATCTGAGGGACAGGGGGTAATTAGAGGCATTATTGCATGATTTATGTCTTAATTGAAAGTTTGGATTTTTGATTTGTCCAAATGTAATAAAATTAGACTATTTTGGAATTTGTCCCATTTCCCTTTCCCCTCAGGCCTTAAAAGAAACATAAAGCTTAATTTTTTTTAAAAAGTGAAATGCTGATGCTGTTCCTGAAGCCAGCACTGGCTGTAAAAATAGCAGATAAGCTCTTAGTGATGACATCATGGGAACTTAATCTGCATATTTGAAGAGGACCTCACTGGCCTAGGGCAATTTGCCAAATGAGGAAGGGGAATCTCTAAATGTTCTGTTCTATTTTCAAATGCCTGAACCTGGTTTCTATCAGAGGGGAACAGCTAGAATTAAGCCCTTGGTCTTGGAAGAGATGCTGAGAACTTTACCATCTTCATAGTGGATCTGAAAGAATAATTTCTCACTAATTTTCTCCCCTCTTGTCCTGCAGAGTTTACTCCATTGAGGTACGGTTTTATGGTTTTAACAATTTTACCAGGCACCCTCTAATATTTGGCTATTTTTGTATGCCATGGCAATGAACCTAAATTCATAAGTGACTCCAGTCTTGTCTTGTAATCTATTGTTCACATAGGAATTGCTAGATAGTGATCAGTAGTGGAAGCTGTGACATTTTCTTTTTGCCCCATTGCATCACCCTAGCATAGATGTGAGAGAATTATGAATTTTCTACATGCATTGACTTGGTAGTTTAAAAAGAGATTTCATTGGCAATTTCATCACGTAGCATAAATGTTAGATTCTGGCCTTGCTGCATTTGAAGTCTGTCAGGATTGGAACTATGTAAGCCGCCATTAAGCCCGGGTTTCTCAATAGTACCTTTTTTTTATTCTGAACTAAAAGATATGTCATGCCACATTAGCTCATGCCAGTCATAGTGTCTCGATGCATACTGACGTTGAAATTTTCTAGACAATACAATGTTAGGGATTTTTACTTCATGCCCGTCAGACCTCCCACTCTAAGGTCTGATCTGTCTTGAGTTGAAGTTTTAGATTCCGAACCACTGTGCTGCTGTATCTTTCATGTGTGCTTATGTCTACTTAATAGAATGATTGATTAACTATTTCAAGGGTGCTTAGTAAGTAAGGTACTCCTATTGGGAATAAATACTAAAATGGAAATCGTCAAAGCAAAAAATTCATCATTCGACTGAATCTACCTTGTTCTTAGTTGTAAGCAGTGATGTTTGTTTTTTAAATGTAGGTTTTGAATGCTTGAGTTTGACATTTGTGTGAAGAGGCTAGAAAAATGTTGGTTGTTGTTTTCGGTAGAGAATGTTATGTTTATGTAATAGAGGTTTGAAATTACGAAGGACTTTGATAGAGTGCAAAGGAAAAAATGGTTTTCACTGACGCCAGGGTCAGTTAACCAGTGGATGCAGATTTAAGGTAAATGCTAAAGAACCCAGAGCAGAGTGAGCTGGGAAGAGGAAATTAGATTGTTTTTGTAGTAACTTGTTACACTCCAGAATGTACTGTCTAAAAGGGTGATAGCAGATTCAAAAGTAACTTTCAAAGGGAGAGTTGATTAAATGTACACTTGAAAGGGAAACATTTGCAAGGCTATCTGTACAGAAGAGGGAAGTAATTGGATATTTTTTCCCCAGAACAGCTCTTCTATATTAGGGAAAAAAACTTCCCTGAAATGAATGAATAATATATACATTATACAAAAGGTATAGAAATAGACCATCATTCCAAATGAAAACATAAAAAGTAGAGGCCATCAAAACATGATGCTCACCAAGAAATCAAATAGAATCCTTTATTCAGTGATGATAATGTAGAACCTGCTACTTAATCATTTGGATGTGTTTTTAAAAGGAAGCAAGAGAGAAGAGGGTTGTACTGATGCAGAGTATATGAAGAATGAGAAAAGGCTCAGGAGGAGCAGCGTGATGATATTGGGCTGAATGGCTTGTGTACTGTAATTTTTTTTTTGTGTGGCTTTTGATTAACCATACCCAGGAAATGTATCCAGTTGACTCTGATATTCAGGTATATACCATAAAATTTCAAAACACCTTAACATAGCTACTTTGTAACATTCGTTTTGCTATTGCTCTTATACTGTCCTGTTCACTTGAAAATGAGATACACAAAACACATCCAGTTTTTTCAGTTGTTGAGTTCTTCAATGATCTTAGCACAGCTTTCATAAATCAATGGTCTTATTGCTATTCCTCCTGATATGCTTGAATGATTTAAGCAGTCCTAAAAATAATTTGAGACCTATAGTTTTCCATAGTTTGCACTGTTTCTTCCCCCAAGGTAACTTACTTAATCAGCCAAAACAGTGCAAAATATTATAGAATTTCAAGCAGAAATTACTTCCAGTATAATTTTGGCTTTATGCAATCTTTCTTTTGTGCTAGTTTTGAAAAAAAAACACATTAGAAGCTGGCCACACCCAGAAAACTGGCTATGCTCTTGATCACAATACACACCACTGAGGTTCTGCTAATTATGTCTGTTTACAAGCCCAGTCTGGGGATTTTATAACCTTTTTAGGCATGGGGATGCTAAATAACCATGTTTTTAAAAGCTTTTGAATAGATTTTAATTTAGTTAAACTGACTATATCAGCATGGCTGTGTATTTTGTCATTTTCAGTTGCTTAAAATGGGGCTACTCTCGAGTAGTAGACTTGGGTTAATCACAAGAAATAAGCACTTTTAACTATTTTCAGACAAATTAATCAAACACAATCACCACAATATTTAAAAGAAAAAGTAACTTTTTAATGTTATAAAGTGCTGTCCAATTGCACTGGTTTATGGCAAAATTTTATTTAGTAATATGCAAATGAACTTGAACAGAATGCAAGACAAGAAACATTTGGCAAAGCTACCACATTTCGTGTTATAGTCATCGATAATGGCCAAAACACACACTCCAGCCATGGGTGCATAATTGTTGGGTTTTTAAAATAATCTTCCTTCTGCAGTTTTACACTTCTGGGCAGTCATAAAGACTGAGAATAGTTCACTAGGAAGTTGTCTACTATTTCAGTTAGCAGTACTGGGCAGTAGAGATGTTTAGCAAAACGGGATAGGACTTGATATGTCTACATTTTACACCAGTTCTTATGTACCCAGTCTGAAAGCAATTTAGCACTTCTTCACAGAAGGCATCCATTTAATGTTTAGACTCAACAACACTACATTTTTGAAGGATCACTAATATTAACATGATGCACAGTTTCAGTCTTCAGTATGGTACATGCTACTGATTTTCCCCTTTGGATTTTTGGTAACTGTAGAGTTCCTGGCTTCTGTTAGTGTAATCTTGAGGTGCCACTTGTAGGGAAGGGGTGGCAGAAGTTTGTCAAGTATTTACAAAATTGTCTTCCATGTCTTCAATTTAGAGCAGCTACAAAAACCTGAAAAGATTCCTTTGAACACCCTTGTAGTTATGGCATGGAAATTTGTAGAATAGCACCCATTCTAAAAGTGCAGTGCTTGGGAGAAAATAGAAGTCTTGACGATCAAATGCAAAATTATTTTATATCATTCCAATAATAATGGACACTTTCCATTTAAAAAAAGTTTAAATGCTGAGAAGAGTTATCTCTTTAATTCCTAGCTTATTATGTTTGAAGGAGTTTTTTTTTTAGAAAGAAGTTAGTATTGTAGATGTGCATCCGTTTCCTAAGAGTTTAAATATCTATGTCATCTATAGGCTAATGTACAGGAAGTACAAACTCCATTAGCCACCACAGCCTGGATAAGTGGCGTTGATCAGAGAAATTGGTACATGAGGACTAAATTTTAATATAGCAATATTCCAGGCATGGGAGTAAAAGCAAATCCATGTTCAATTAACAAATTTGACATAAATTTCTTCTTGAGCATTGAAATTATAAAGGAAATTGGTGTTACCATGCTGTGTTAGGAGGTGACATCCAGGACAAGTTTTCTTATCCAAAAAAAAATGTGTGTAGATAATGATGATTCTGCTACTGTTGTATTGCTAGCCATGATTAATCATTACTAGGCTTGTATTTTGCAGATTTGATTCACACAACAGAAGTGGTTCATCAACTCGATTTTACCACATACTTGAGTTGCAAACAATATGTAATGAATTAGCATTTTGGGTCTTTGTCAAAGTGTTGCTTTTTGTTCATGCAAGACCATATTCAAAGTTTCAAACTTATAAAGGTGGCTGATCAATTTTTATCAGCAGGTAAATAGTACTGCTTTTAATAATCTGTCCATGTCTTTCCAATTCTATATGCAATGTCACCATTGTTAGTATCCTTGGACACTATAGGTCCTGAAATTAGATTTTTGGGTTACCTAGCACATTAACATATACCTCATCTGGAACAGTATTTGTGATTCTTATATATGTACTTTCACATTTGTAACTTTAGAATGTTGCAACACCTTCTCAGCTGTGGAATTTTTAAGTTCTCCATGTATGGATATGTGAGACTGCAGATACAGTAGTGGAATGAACCAATTTTGTTAATAGCCATGGCCAGTTAAAAAGTTTGATGTTTATTAACTTGCAAAGCATGTAAAATATATTTTCAGAAATTAAATATCAAAACAAGAAATGGTCTGTGGACTATCACCTATTTTTGGAGATCTCAAAAGCTTTATTGAATATCAGAATGCATTGTAAACTTCTATATCGGAACGATTTGCGTATGTGTTCAGATCAGTGATTTTCTTCATGTAATAAGGTGATATTCCTCAGCTAGGTCACCAGGGAAGAAGTGTTGAAAAAGGGACATCACTTTTCCCTCCCTGTTGTATAGCTTGTACAGATGGCATTGCCAGATATCTGGGTACATGGTATAAGTAGACTTCCTCAATCATAGGAACAAAAAATAGCTCCTAAACAAGGATCAAAATTATAACACTGCAGCAAAGCCTGCTATCAATTCTAGATAAATCAGCACTAACTGCTGTTTTTAAAAATTTTTGGATGAGGGGTCAGGAAAACGTTGAATCGGGTAGTTTCCAATCTGGTATGTATTGATATTTTGCTTCTGACTAAAAAGATGATTTGATTTAATTCAATTTAAATTTGTTCTAACAATTTGTACGTAATTCAAAAATCTTTGTCAATACTTAAAGATGTTGCCAAAGAATAGATGAGTTTTCAAAAATACAGTTAGTGCATTGTCAACTGTATTTCATCTCGCTTGGATGTCCTTTGTCACACTCTGCATTTTGACTGAAATAGTGCCTAGTTTCATATCTCATAATTTGATTTACTTGACACAAACTGTCTGTCTGTGTTAATTTTGGTACACCTGGCGATGTATTTGTCGCTTGGCCTAATTGTGTAAGGGTTAGTGAGAAAATGTGATTTTTAGTTCAAGTCCCATGTCCTGCAGTCACCTAGACAGTTTTGATATTTTTAAAATGCTACCTTCTGGACTGGGATTTGCAGATGTATAAAGTTAAGAATGCAGCATAATGTAAAGGTGTGTGACTTTAATTGTGCTTTGTTGATACAACCATTAATTCCAAGGTACTTGAAGTCAATAATTGTCTTTGCTGTCATTCTTGAAATAGATTAGTAGTACACTTTTTAAAAATGTCTAGGAGTCCTCTTACAGAATTTTATTGTTATTTTTCAGTTGTATCCTCAACCACGTTGCAATTTTTTTGAGCTGGATGTCTGCTGGAGTACATCTGCTTTATAGTTGAACTCTGATTTGTTCCAGTGTCTGCTGAGAACAATGAAAAACATAAGTCCCTAAAGGACATAAGTTACTTGCAACCTTTATTTTTCAAATCGTAAAAACAAATGTTTTATCAAAAGTACACCTAAAGTTAAGAGGCACATTTAGTACTCAAGTGAAAAAGTAGTTTCCTTATGGTACAGTGTATACACAAATGTTAAAAGATTATTTTTTTATTTTTTGCATATGTTATGTGAATAAATCAGTTATAGCCTTTTCTATTTGTTTTGTCCTAGCAGTTAATTCTGAGATGCACTGATGAAAAAAATAAACGTCCTCTTTTCTGTAATACCTGATTTACACATTCCTGGTGGTATAGTATTACCACAATGGCAGGATTTTTTTTTAACAATAGCAGTATTCAGATTTATTCACTGGAAAACAAATTCACTTAAAAAAAAATAAACTGCTTTGTAAATGAAGTAATTGAGCCTTGCATTTACTGTGTACAAGAAAGCATCCTACCTACATGCAACACCAAATGAGCTAACATAGCTGAAGCAATCATGCTGCACGTTGGACAGTCATTGTTGCACAAAAATATCACATTTACTGCAGATTCAAAAACAGAGTGCGGTGGGGGGGGCGGCTTTGAACTGAAGTACTATCGTACAAGTGGAGTCAAATTTGTATCCCAAACATCATTCTCCATTTGAGTTCCACAATTTATAAACTTGAATTCTTATTGTATGTCCAGAAATGCTCTTACACACAACTCAATGTTCTTTTATCCCCTCACTAAATCACTCTATTGATCACCGCTAGTAAATAACCTTGAATTCTACTATTTAGCACTATAGTAAAAGTAGTTTCCATGCTAATTGTCCCTTCTGCAGTTAATTTAAATAGCAACTTAGATGACTTGTACATTGTATGGAATCAGTGTTAGTTCTATCCCAGTGTGTATGTTCCACAACTTTTGGTATATCATTCATCAGAGTTGAAGTCCTTTCTAGTGTCTTGTGCGGTGCACAATGTTAAACTGATTACTAGTTTCAACAGAAAAATCAGTTTTGTTAGCGACTGTGTCCAGAAGTGAAACAAATAGCTTTTAATTTGAAGGGGTAGGGGGGAGGTGATGATTAGGCTCCTGTTGGTATTTTTATCCAAATAATTATTCAATGCCTTTAATTGAACTTGCCTCTACCACATTTCCAGGCAGTACATTCCATACCCTAACTATTTGCTGTGGAAAATTTGTTTTCATTTCTCATTTCATCTTTTTCCTAATTACTTTAAATCTGTGCCTTCTCTTTTTTTCCTTTTTATGTGTGGAACCAGTGTTTCCCTATCCGCTCTATCCAGCCAGTTCATGATTTTGAAAACCCCTTAGATCTCTTGTTTGCCACCTTCTCTCCAAAGAGAACAGTCCTGACTTCTTCAATCTATCCTCAACTGAAGTTCCTCAACCTTGGAAGCAATCATCTCTGTACTCTTTCAAATGTGTACACCTCCATCCTATAATGTGGCACCCAGAACTTCCCACAGCACTCCAGCTGAGTTCAAAAGTGTGTTGTAGAAGTTCAGCATCACCTCTTTGCTGTTGTACTGTAATGCCCTTATTAATACAGCACAGGATAGTATCTGCTTTATTAACTGGTCTTTCCATCTGTCATAGAAAATAGGAGCAGGAGTATGCCATCCAGCGTTTCCAGCCTACTCTGCCATTCTATATGATCATGGCAGATCATCTAACTCAGTGCCCTGTTTCTGGTTTCTCCCCATACCATTTGATTCCTTTAGCCTCAAGAACTATATGTTAGTCCTTGAAAACATTCAATGTTTTGGCCTCGACTGTTGTCTGTGGCAGAGAATTCCACAGGCTCACAATTCTTGGGGTGAAGAAATTTCTCCTCCTCTCAGTTGTAAATGGCCTAAACCATATCCTTTATACTGTGTGCCCTGGTTCTGGACTCCATTCATCTGAAATATATTGCATTTGGCCCTTCTAGTCCTGTTAGAATTTTATAGGTTTATATGAAATTTCCTTCTTTCCCCACTCCATTCTTCTAAACTCCAGTGCAACAGATTCAATCTTTCTTCACCTGTCAGTCCTCCCACCCTAGGATTTGGTCTGATAAATCTGTGCATCTCTCCATAGCCAGAAAATCCTTCCTCAGCTAAGGAGACCAAAACTGCACTTGATATGCCAGGTGTGGTCTCACCAAAGCCCTGTACGATTGCAGCAAAACATTCCCCTTCAAAAATAGAAATTGCTGAAAAAGCTCAGCAAGTCTGGTAGCATCAGTGGAGAGAAGTCAGAGTTAATGTTTTGGGCCAAGTGACCCTTCCTCAGAACTGATGTATTTAAATCTTCTTGCTATGAAGGCCAATATACCATTTGCCATCATCACCATCTGCTGCACCTACATGCTTCCTTTCAGTAACTGGTGTACAAGGATACCCAGGTCTTGCTGCACCTTCCCCTTTCCCAATTTATCACCAATCAGTTAATCTGCCTGCCTGTTTTTGCAACTAAAGTGGATAACCTTACATTTATCTACATTATAAGGCTTGTGCCATGCATTTGCCCCCTTCCTCAACTTGTCCAAATCACATTAAAGCATCTCTGCATCCTGCTTACAGTACATCCTTCCTTCCAGCTTTGTGTCATCTGAAAACCTGAAGATAGTATGTTTAGTTCCCTAATCCAAATCATTAATGATTTGCCTTCAGTGATTTATACGTGCATACACTCTGGTCCCTGTGCTCCTGTACCCCCGCTTGTCTTTCAGTGTAGTTCCTATCAAAGTGTATTACCTCACACTTCATTGCATTGAACCTCGCCTGCCACCTAACTGCTCACTCCACCAACTTGTCAATGTCCTTTTGAAATTCCATACCGTCCTCCTCATAGTTTACAATTCTTCAAATTTTATCATCTGCATTTGAAATTGTCCCCTGAATTCCAAAGTCTAGGCCATTGATGTGGATCAAGAAGAGCAAGGGCTCCAATGCTAACCTGTGGAGAATAAAACCTGAAAGAACTGCAGATACTGTAAGTCAGACACAAAAACAGAAATTACTGAAAAAGCTCAGTAGGTCTGGCAGCATCTGTGGCGAGAAGTCAGAGTTAATGTTTTGGGTTGAGTGACCCTTCCTCAGAACTGATGGTAGATAGTGTCAGCTGTTATGCTTTTTACATAACTAGGCAATGTTTGCAATTTTCCAGTCTTCTGGTATGTCCCTCAATTCCGGGGAAAACTGAAAGATTATAGAATCATAGAATCCCTACAGTGTAGGGATAGGCCCTTCGGCCCAACAAGTCCACACCGACCCTTGGAGCATCCGACCCAGACCCAGACCCATCCCCCTATAACCCACCTAAGCTACACGTCCCTGAACACTATGGGCACTTTAGCATAACCAATCCACCTAGCCTGCACATCTTTGGACCGTGGGAGGAAACCGGAGTACCTGGAGGAAACCCATGCAGACATGGAGAAATTGTGTGGAGTTTGCACAGACAGTTGCCCAAGGGTGGAATCGGAATCGGAATCGAACCCGAACCCGGCTCCCTGGCGCTGTGAGGCAGGCCACCCCATGTGCTCAGTGTCCTGCAATTTCCACACTGTCTTCCTTTAATATCCTTGGATGTATCTCATCCATTCCCTTGCCAACTTTAAGTACCAATAATCTAGCCAACACTTCTTATCAATTTTGAATTCTTGGTGACAGTTTCCTCCTCTGTCACTATGACCTGGGTACCATTTTTTTTAATAAAGACTGGTACAAGGTATTTATTTAATACCTCAGCCATATTTATTTAATACCCTGCCTCCATACGTAAAAGCCCTTTTGGTCTCTAATCAGCCCTACTTTTACCACTCTTTTTCTTACTCTTTATATGACTGCAGATGACTTTGGATCATCTCTTATATTGGCTGCCAGTCTTTTCTCAATTTCACTTTGCTTTTATTTGCTTTTCCACCTCTTTCCTCAATTTTCTATATTTAGATAGACCTTTAATGGTCTTTCATGATTATAAACAAATGTAGAATTTAAAAGTACCAGAAGACAAATAAAAATGGATTTTGACGTGCTCTGTTACTGTATCTGAAGCTCTGAAGACCACCCCATTGTTTAAAAACTGAATTCAGCTTGCAATGAGAGATGCTGCAGACCCTAAGCTAGAATGTAAAAGTCTTAATTTACATTTTGTTGTCTAAGTTTCTTCCCATTTTAAAAAACAAATTTTTTGTTGCGTTCAGAGATACTTGCATAGCAAGTGAAGATATCAGCTGATACTACCTTGAAATATACCTAATAATACCTATTTTTCCAATCAACCTGTTCAGAAATTTTATAACACACTTCTGGAGGAGGTGATACTTGAACCTGGCCCTCCAAGTCTAGTGGTAGGGATGCTACCATTGTGCCACAACAGGCCTAAAATAACTCTCAGTTGACGTCCCAAGATTTTTTTCTTCAGTTTGTGATGCTAGTGGCTATAAAGGAACAGATTGGTGTACAATTGATTGTTTTGCTTTTACATAACATAGCAGGATGTCTGTTAGTATGTTATGTGGAGATTTGTTTGTAGCAGGCACATTGGTAAACCATAAAAAATGTATGATGCTATCTGAGCCCCTCAATTGCCCCATAAAATACTTTCTGTACACTATCCTAGACTTGCTGTACATTATAAAATAAAAGATGTTGTATAAATCATCAGTTTTCAACTAAAATTGTTAGTCTTGGAGGTTCTGTATGATGAAAGTATCAGACTGCAACATCTGCAAGAAATATCTCCACCTTCAGTCCCTCTGGTTCTTCAAGTGCCTTTTCTAAGTGGGCATATTTCATTTGCATGCCTAGACAAAAATGTGGGCAGGCTATTTGTGAAATGTATTGCAGCCTACATCTTCCTGCATTCTGATGTCCCCAGATACATCTTGATTGAGGGGGACTGTGACTAATTGCAGAATTCCACCCTGCCTGAGATAAGCTAACGCTACTAAGTTAAAATGAAATCGGGCATTCATGTTAGTGTAGGTCAGCCAATGCATTTAATCTGTATGTTTTAATCATTCTGTAGTTTTTTTAAAAAAAGTACATTGAATCATCCAATGTAGAATGTTTTTTCTCTCTCTCTCAATTTGAATTAAACAATATTAGGTGTTACATAATAGGTGAACACTTAGAATGTGGTTTATCTATCAGGCATGATAGTTTATCCCTCTCCGTCTCCACCTTAACGAATTTCGGGCATGACATGACACCGAACTCTTTTTTTTCCACCGTCTTCACCTCCGTGCCCATTTCTTTGGACAAGAGTCCACCCCGTCCCACAGAACCCTTTGCCCAACTCCATCACTCTCCCTCCAACTGGACCCCTCCCTCCGGCCTTTTACCTGCACTCGATCTTTTCATTGAGAACTGTCGACGTGACATTAGTCGCCTCCATTTCTCTGCCCCTCTCAACAAATCCAACCTATCTCCCTCTGAACTGACTGCACTCCATGCACTCAGGTCTAACCCTGACTTTGTCATCAAGCCTGCCGATA